TCATTCACTTGTATATAATTATTTCTTATTTTATTTTTTTTGTCATATATCCACTCATATGTTTTTAGCATATTCAATTTTATAACTCACTTTTTTTAGTATTCCTAGGAGTATTTAATTTTTCTTTAAAATAATTCATATCCGATATTTGTATGGACATTTTTTAATTAAATTATATTTTTCATATTAAAAAATTAAAAAGTTACTAATTAAAGAGAATAGTTGCAATAAAATAAATATTACAAGTGTACGGAAAACTACTCTTACATTAAAGAGAAAGTGGAGGGATGGCTAATTTTTTTATATTTCCAGCCAAGCCTTAGCAGTTGGCATTATTATATTATACAGTATATCAAGAATCGTTCCTAAAGAGAAGTTTGCACATTAAAAGGTGATAACTAATAAAATTATTAAAACTTTAAATAACTTTTTCTTTTAGAAGAGTCAAATTCCATCTTGGTACTAGCGTATATTAAAATTGATCAAGTAACAGTTAACGGCGTCGTTTAGGATTTTTTATTTTTTTTTTAAATTTGGACAATATTATAAAGGACAAAAGTTTATACATATTTTTTTTTATTAAAATTTACACAATTCAATATTATTTAATGTATTAATATTATTATGCTACATTTTTTTATAAAAACTTATTTTATATTAGTTTTTATTTTGTGCAATGTTGCATATATTAGAAATATTTTAAAACACATTTGAAAATATAAGTTTATAATTTATTTTTTAGTTTATACTACATGTATTTTGTACTAAAAGCAATTATGTTCAAGTACATGAGTCCCAAAGCTTTCTCTATGAATAATTGCATTATTGACACTTGAATATTCAAGATTACATATTAAACTAGAACAACTTTTTATCAGTTTATAATTTATTAATTTTTTAACTTATTTTAAGCTAATAAAATTGTTTGATTAGAAAATAGAAAGAACTTATAATTTTAAAAGTTAATTTTTTTAAAAAATATATTGAAATAGTATGTATTTTATAACTATTAATAATTTCATCTTATTTTTAAAAATAAATTACACACGTGTATTAACTTTAATTTTTTTAATTTTAATATTACATTTCTATAATATTCTTTATTTGTTAGTCATATAATACATTTTAATTAATTTTATTAAATACTTCTAATTAGATCAGCTATATTAGAAATCATAAAATTGTAATTATAAATTACAATTTTTTGTTTGATTTTATTGTAATCTTAATCTCACTTCATTCATTAATTAAATTTTTTTTGTCTCATTGACATAGTCTTGCACTACTAATAGCTTTGGTTATAGTCTTGGTGAAACTTAGGGTAATATCCGTTGCGAATTGAGTTTGAGTTTTTAAATGAGTACATGTGAGTGTAATATACAAGTTCTTTTATTATGTACCCATGTAAACCATTATGATGATTGAAGAAAAAGTAAAACATTAATTAAGCATTGTTGATATATCTTAATTAAATTTTTCTTACTTTATGTCTTATTTGTTTGACTTATTCTTATTACATTATCTATTATTTTCTTAGTGTATCTATATAGTGTACCAAAAACTTGGTAGTTTTTATTAGGTCACCTTCATTTTTGCCCTAAATGTAAAATTGATTTATTCATATCAACACGCTAAGTCAATAATGGTAGTTTATTACATCACCTTTACACATAGTGCCTATCTTCACACAAGTCTACCACTATTCGTGCCTTAAAATTTCAAAACCTACTACAAAGAGCGTCCAAGTAGTAGCTGTAAATTTGGTGAAAAATAACATGAAACCACAAACACATGCATATCTTGCCTCATTCATTGATTTTCTTAATCCTAATAACGTTTTGGGCTATTAATCACATTGTTTATAGTTCTATGTGGATCATATCTTCACCAGTATATCACCTTTCTTCCCCCCTAAGCAGTTTTGAATTCTTTTTTCCTTTTTCTTTTTGTAATTCTGGACCCATGTAAAACCTTTATGAATATTGAGATAAAAATAAAAGTTTAACTAAGCATTGAATTTAAAATCCCGCAATATCAATGTCTCAATTCTGATGCAAGAAATTGAAGCTAGGTCCCTATGTATGCATATAAACATTATGTAGAAGAGAAATTTACGTAATAACAGAAGAACATATGTAGTCAGGTTTATCGGTAAAATATCAGAATGAACTGTCTTCTGTGTCACCAAACCGATCCTTCACCTGTCATTGGCAAATAAAATGTTTATTTTCATACGCATATGCTTTATAATTTTTTTCTAAATTAAGAGAAAAATTCAAAAAAGGTATAAAGTAAAATAAGTAATGAGATGAAAAGAAATAAATGAATAAGTTATACAAATATATTATAAGAGTTTAAATAATTATCTGAAATTAAGAGAAAAATTCAAAAAAGGTATCAACTGATTTGACCGCCCAATATAAGCCAACTCGTTTATTTAAACGGACTACACTTAATTATTAAAATTGTCGATTTTATTTTTTTTTGGGTTTACCCAAATATCATGTCAAAACAAATAATAATAATTCATTGTAGATTTCTTAATATAAACTAATTTAATTTTGAATACAAGTTGTTTAAATAATTAAGTCCAACAAATTAGCTCACACCCTACATAAAGTAAAATTAGGTCAATAATTTAATAATCTAAAATTCAATTTATCCACTCTAGATCAAGAACATGTTGAACCAAATACAAAAGGGTAACCAGAAATCACACCACAAAGTTCTGGTCTAAACAAGGGGAATAAAGCAACCAAGAAAATGAAATTGCAATATAAACAAATAATAAAACATTAGTCAACAAATCACTGGTGTGCTTTGCCTACTCTTATTTAAGGATTCCCACTTCTCCCTCTGCCAACAACTTTCTATCACATCCTTAACTTTCACTTTATTGAGTCTTTACTCTTTTCTTTTGTTTTCAAGACATAGGAATCAAGGACAAGAATGATGTCAAGACTAAGGACATAGTCGGTTGCTAAAATAAGCAACTATGTTGAGAGTACAAAGCCACCCTCCAATAATTTGATGTGCAATATGGGAAGACTTAACAAGTGGGTGAAATCTTTGTAAGCAAGAAATTGAAACAGACAACAAAAAGTGGGTTGACACTCGACATGGGAGGGATGGAAAGAGATGGTGGGAAGATGAGAATTTTGAGGTAAATTCTCGTTTTTAAAAGTTAAGACTAAGCAAAAGTTTTAAAAAGTAACTAAATTGATCAACTCTTATAATTTCAGGAAATAATTTGGATGCTTACTTTGAAAATTTTAGTACTTGACAGATTGCTTTAAGAAAATATATAGTGGGGTGATTTTTCCTTTATCATGATTGAAAGTTTGAAATCAACCCAAACTTCAAATGAAGGTGAGGCTATAAAGATCCCCACCAAACAAATATTGCTGCACAATGGTGGCTGCCTTTATCAGCAACAAGATAAGGAAGAACTTCAACAATTACATGGTACCAATGTTGCTAAAGTTATTATGGCTATGAGATGTGACATTCTTTGGAAATTGTCTCAAGCAAGAAGAGATGTAACTACGAGTATGCATACAAGATAATCACATAAGCAATTCCGTTTCATTACCCTTTTGTTTATTTTCTCTGCATCCAATTCAATCCTACCAGTGAGACTATATTTACATAACTATTGCCAAACTTTGTGCAATGAACTCCAGAAGAGGAAAAAAAAAACAAAGAAAACAATAAAGACTTATTGAAAATTATTGTATAAAAAAACACAAAAAAATTATTTAATGTTTATTTTTTTAATTTAAAATATTTAATTCGATATGTTTAATATTTTAACAGCATGGGACCAAGGATATAATAGACAACCACATAAAATATGGAACAAGAAACAATTCAATCTATATATATATATATATATATAGGTATATAAATAAATTTTGATTATTACATCTCATGATGAAAATTAAAACATGTGAATTTTTTTAAAATTTATATATAATCCTTTTAAGTAATTATGTAATTTCTAAATCTTTTAATCTCCATTCATATATATATATATATGCAATTCAAATTTACTTGTCTCCCATATATATATATATATATATATATATATAGACTGATTTCACTTGATACATTGTGTCTCTATGTATATATTAAAAAAGTGTGGGTGGAAAGGAGAAGTGGAGAACAGAATTCCCATGTCCTGCCGTAAATACCAAAAGTCAAAATTAAAAAGGAAAAGTATATTAAAATAAAAATCGATGTGGATTGCTAGATGTCAGATAATATATGTAGACAAAGTGCAGTTGAGCAGTAAAGTATGGAACTATTGATCAATCAGATGCATGAATGTAACATTGATGACAATGTGTTAGTGGAGATGTAACACACTCTCAATGGACATTGAGAAGAGCACGTGTAATGCTTGTCTTGTTGTCCTTTGATTGAAAGTGACATTTTTAAAGTGACCACTACCCTTGAATCTTGATGAACCCCCCTCTATATGCTACATTTCATATGAAATTAACCACTGCATAAAAGTTGATACTTACGATATTTTAGAAGTAAAGTGTACTGTTCTTATATCCTTCCTTTGCAAATGCAGGCATATAGGGTAACCACTATGGTGCTAATTCTATTTCTTTTTTTATATTTATTTTCCTGATTTAGTTCTCTGCCAATAGCTCAATTCATTGCTGAAAAATTGACGCTGTTTTACTTGTAAAAGTAACGAGAGGTACAAGAATTTTCTCACTATTGCCAAACAAGCCCCTTGAAGTATTTCCTATTTAAGTTCCTAAAATACTAGGTCATTATTTTAACTAAATATAATATGCATTTAGAAACCTAACTTAACTAAATACTTATTTAATAATTTTTTTTTACAAGAGAACTTTTTTCATAAATTTAATCATAAAATTTATTAAAATAAGTTGAAAAAAACTTTAAAATAAATTGAAAAGATTTTACAGAGTAATATTACTTTAGGTTAAGATTGGTCAATGATGTACCTTGAAGCAATCTCAGCAAGCAGAAGCAGGGAAGGCACTGTTAGGAACCCCAATTGCAGAACATTCCCTGTTGCTCTTTCCACTGCCATTATTTCCCAGTTGAAGTTCTGAAACATTTGGTACTTCATTCTTCCCACCAACACCATGATCATACAAAAACCCCTTGAACACATGGCCACTAATACGAACCGTGGCCAAATAGGCAAATTCATCTTCACCACTGCCAATAGCAGACACTCTATGGCACCTAAACACAGCAGGTGCATGAACATGCCGTGGCAAAGACTGTTTGAAACCAGCATCTGCAATTCAAGAGAATCATTTCAACATCCAAACTCCAAAATTGTACCACACCAAACGTACTTGAAAGAACTTATACTATCTTCGAAGTTTTTTTCCTGAACTTATTTCAATACATTTTGTAAAAAAAACTTAAAATTTAACTAAAATAGAGTGACTGTATAAAGATATTTTTCACATTATCATCAAATTCCAAGTCATTGTGTCATTAAAAATGATTAGTTTTTATAAACTACTTTAAAATTCACACTTAAAATGTTTTCTAATTGATTCACAATTTAAATATATCAAAATTAAACTCAACCTTATTAAATTTTTAAATTTATGATGTGATTCTTATTAAATATGGGTTTGATTAAACTGTACCCAACATGGGTAAAAATGAAAACTGAAAATGATTGTACCTTGATGACAAGAGCTAGTATCTAAGCTACAGCTCTTGGTTGTGGTAGCATTGGAAGTGGAACTGTGAGAGGTAGCAGCAACATTCTGGGATGACCCCAAAGCTCTTAGCCTCTTGGAAGCACTAGCATCGCCACCATCACTGCTACCACCACTACTGCGCCTTAAAGATGCAGGAACCCACGTGCTCCTCACGTGAGTGCTGCAATCAAAGCCACGTCCTTTGCAACAAGTCCTGCACCTTCTGTAGCTACAATCTCTCTTAGCCCTGTTGCCACAATCTTCACACACCCTGAACTCACCACTCTCTTCGCCCTCCATCAAGTGCTTGTTTCTACCATCGTCTTCTTCCACCATCATTCCTTCTCTTGCAGAATTCACTTCGGAGCCACACATGTTGAGGTTCCAATAGTTGTTGGTGGTATTGTTATGGACTTGAACATCATTGGTGTGATCATGAGGGTGTGGCATGCATGGTGTAGCAGTTAAGAGAGGGAAAAAGCCAAGGCCAACACTGAGAGAGGCTGAAGAAGGTAAAGGGAGGTTGGCATGGTGTTCAGCTGAAATGGGCTGTTGGGTTTGTTGTTGTTGTTGTTGATGGTGGTGAAGTGAAACTTGAGAAGGGGTTGGAGCTATGAGAACTAGGTCTCTAAGGCCTAACATGGTTACTGGAACAAGGTCTCACACTCTTCTCAGTTCTCAGGTTTAGATTTAGAGGGTCTTTCTATTTTTATTTTATTTTTTGAAAATTTTTGTGCGTGTATGTGAAAAGAAAAAGTGCTGAATGTTGTTGGATGCTGAGTTGAGATTGTGTTTGATGAAAACTGGGATCTATGATGATGATGATGATGATGATGATGATGATGGCGATGGGAATTTGGTGTTTGTGTTGTGTGTGTTTGGCATTGAGAAAACCCACAAAAGCTACTACTACTGCTACAGGAAGCTACTACTACTGCTACAGGTTTCTTTCTGACACTGAAACTGCACTTAACTTAACAGATTCTCGGACAGAGAAAGGTGAGTGAGTAATTATTGTTGGAGTTATGTGTCTCTAATAAAGCAAATTTGGTGCCCTCTCTCTGCTGCTCAAAGTATGTGTAGTTAAACTTTCACAGTTTCTTGCACGTTTTTTGTTCTGAATTCATTGCTGAAGAAAGGGTCATCATTGCCTTCTGATTTGTTGGAAACTGGACAAGGAAAAAATGCAAAAAAAACGAAGAGTTAAAGATGTTGGTAAATCAAGTGCATGATTAGAGACGTTTGTTTTAAGAAAACTATCTTTTAACAAATTAAGATATCAGTTAAAATAATTGAAATTTTGTTTTTCTACTGAGAACTATTGCTAATATAATTTTATCATAATTTTAATATAATTAATATTTCCAAAAAAAATATAATTATTAATCTTTTTTAAGATACTAATTAACAAAGCTTTAATCTTTCTTAAAAATTTATCCCAACAAATTCTTAAAAAATATTGTTTCTTTAATCTAAATTCAATTAAATACTTATTAAATTTAGATTGATAATTTCTTATCATTTGATAAGAAAATATGCGTATGTTAGAATAAAAAAAGAATTTTTTTTTATCAAATAAAGATCTATTGAAACAATATAACTTTGGAAAGTTGAAACAAATTCTATAAGATATTATTAGCAAACTTTTAAATTTTTATAAAACTATTAATTGGTAAACAAAAATTGCCTAGATTTTTGCTAAATTAATACAGCCTGCTTGTTAACCTTTAGGTTTATCTATTCATTTCAGGTTATATATATCACAAATGAATTTTGATCTCAGTGAAAAGATGTTTATTATCATATTATGTTTTCTGTATTCTTGAAAAAAAATCGGATTCATTTAAATATTCTAAACACACAATTTGATAATATTATATAAAGTTTACCCTCAAACAGATTAAATTTAAAAATATAAGTATAAAACATATATCAAATTACATTAAAATAAAAAATATATTTTGTGTCTTTTATTGAGTCTTATGCTTGTGAAAATTCTTTTTAATTTTAAAAAGTAAGGATAACGTGGCAATGTTGTTTGAAGGTTTACTTTCACAATTCTTTGAAAAACAATAACCCATGCCTTCTGATTATATATAGCTGTCAATTTCAGTTCATTTTATTAAGTTGATCTACTATTCTACTTAGCCTGATAATTAATACCTTCAAACTAAGTCAAACTTGTTAATACACATTTAAATTTAAATATTTTACAGCTTTTTTTTTATCTAAACCATTATTTTACGGCTATTTATTTAAATTAAAATTTTTAATTAAATTAAATAACTTTATGTTCCATTTTTTTAAAGAAAATTAGACAAAACACGTACCTTTTAGGTTTAAACATGGTTACAAACCTTAGAATGTTAATTTCAGCTTTTAAAAAAAAGTTACTGTTATATACGTATTTTTTTATTGACACATTTTTTAGTTATTATTAGTAATTTTTATGTCATTGAATGAAATTTATTAAAAATAATTAAAAACATATTGCATGGCTTTTTCGAAATTTTATATTTTTATATTTGTTTAAAAGAGTATAATGTAAAAAAATTATAATTAAATTATGAAAAATTTATAATTTATTAAATTATAAATAAATTATGAAAATTTTAAAATTTTAAATAATATTAAATTAAAACAAATACATAATGTAAAAAAAATTATTTAGTATAGTAAATAAATTAATATCTAAAAAGCGTCTAATTTGATAATACTATTAAAATACATCCATTTAAGAAATTTTCTAAAAATCTGTCATTTAACAATTAATATTCACAATTTATACTTAAATTAATTAATCCCTAACTTAAAACACATGAGAGATTTTTTTTAAATAAATGAAAAATGAAAAAAATGAAGAAAAATATATTATAATAATAACAGAAAAATAACAAATACTGAATTCGATTATATTTACTTATTAAAAAATAAGATATTTTTAAACAGGTTTGATAACATTAAAAAAAAATCTTTAATCGTGATAAATGTTCTCTGGTATATTTTATTCCAAACACATTAAAAGAAGAAAATTAACTTGATTTTCAATATTAGAAAACAAATTATACGTTTAAAAAAATTGAAAGGAATTCACAAAAACTAATCATCAGTTTTCAAATTTAACTAAAAAATATTTATAATTTATCACTAAATACATAATCAATTAAACTATTCCATATAATGAAAATAACTAAGTTAATTTCCCATGAAAATCCAAAAATCCCGAACTCAAAAAAATCGAATAAAGTAAATTTCTAAAGTTTAAATTACTTATTTTAATAAATTAAATTTAAGGCTTGAATTTTACTGGTTAAAATATATAAAACTGAAGTTTAACTTATTTAGCTTTTTATATTTTTATCAAATATAATCTTAAAATATTTTTTAATATTTAATAGACACTTTATATTATGAGAAAATATAAAAAGTTAAAGAAGAGAGATAAAATAACATTCAAATATAAAAATTAAGTAATGATACTTTTATATAAAATTAGGGTATAAATTAATGATACTTTTAATATAAAACTACAATCTACTAATATTTTATATATATATAATTGACATTTTCTATTTTTATTCTTATTTATCTTTTGAGTGAAAAAAAAGTATATAAACTAAGTGTATGTTTAGATTCTTAGAAAAATAAAATATTTTAACAATTAGTTAGATATAATTAATTATTATGATATTGATTATATTAAATAAGTTTTGTGTTTAGATATATTTGATAAAAATTAATTTAAAAATAATAACCTTTTTTCTCTTTAATCTTTAGACTCTGAAAATAATATAAATATTTTATTTATTGTAATTAAATTTTATAAGAGTAATGGTATAAAATAATAATTAATATTATTTTTAATTTTTGTGAATAAATAAATAGGAATAGTGTTTTCTTTAGATAGATGAATAAAAAAATTATATACAGAGAGGTTCAAATTTTTTACAATATTTTATTGTTAATTTTGTAAAATTTAAATTTGTAGTTAAACTTAAATATAAAATTAATTTATTAAACAGTTAAACTAATTTGATTCGACATTTAACAAAATAAATGTAAATAACTTATTATTTTTTATAGAAATATTTTCACTGTTTTTTAATTATTAAAATTAAATACCTATACTAAATGTATTAATTACTTTTATACTTTTATTTATCATAGTTTTTGTCTCAACGAGACAATTATATATTATTTATAAAAATAAATATATTTATTTGTTTAGTATATGAGTTATATTTTAAGTATTTATTAAATACATTATAAATATGCAATATAAATTTAATTTTTATTAATTATGATCCATTAATCCTTTATTTATCATTAAAAAAATGAATGAGCAATTTATAAGCATTTCAAGAATGTCAACGGGTTGTTAATAAGATTGGGTACACAGTGAGCTGGTTTGGTAAGCATGGCTGAGATAATTCTAACACTATAGTAACACTCAAAGAGATAGGTAATCTTCTTATTTGATCTTATAAAATATTTTATCATATAAAAAATATTTTTTAAAGAGAAAAGAAAAATAATTATAATTAACTTTTGTCTGTGTAAGTAAAAAGTAAAAGAAAAAAGAAAAGAAACAAGAATAATAATAAAAATAGGATTTTTGGGACTGAAAATAAAAAGTATATAAAGAAAAGAAAAAGAGTAGGGAGGGGGACCAACATAAGACCTATATGGGGGTGATAGGGGGTCTAATGAAGGACAATAGGTCATCATCACAGCCTAACCCTAAGTGCCTTATAAATTGGCCTTATTCGAAACAAATAGCCCTTAGAATGAAAGTTGGGTCCCCTCTCTATTGTTTGGCACTTTCGCCAACTCGATTCATAAATCATAATCAACCCTTCTTTATCTACTTTTTTATATTATTAATCTCTCTCTCTCTCTCTCTGTCTATTATTGTGGCGTGGAGTGTGGTCTCTCATGACAGAGCCATAATTGGCAGAGTGAAATTCGTAGGGTTAGGCAGTAATGTGTATAGATAGGTATTAGGTATAGGCTTAGGGGAGACGTATACGCACCTTATACTATACGCATGTCACACTCTGCTGCCATAGCCACCGCGCCGGTGAACATTGCTTCCTCAGAGTTCTATAATCTTTGGTGAGAACAACCAACACTTTAAATGTTTCATTCTATCTGAATCCTGTTTTTGTGTTGTGCGCCTTTTTATGCTTTTCGACACTACACATTCTATAGCCTTTAGGGAGACCCTAACTCTGCCCTTATGCCATACCCTACCCTACTCTCCGCCATAGTTAGCCACACAACACTCTTTTTTATTATTAATTCAAATTTATTATAAAATATAAAATATACAAAATCATTAGCTCAAATAATGCTTTAAATGACATATTTTATTTGCATTTTCTCTTAAATTCGTGTATGTTATGATTTTCATGTTAAATATAATTTAATGTGTGCTTCAAAATTTATTAAAAATATTATAAGTGAGTTTAAACATATTATTAATGTGAGCTCCTTTTTTATATAGAAAAAAAATACTAAATACCAAAATCTGAGTTGAATTAATTTTTAAACGTATGCTGTTTGATACAGAAGTAGTGGAGTCACGACATGATTGGATGGCACTGAAAAAGGAATATTTGGACGTTAACTTTCTACAAAGCAAGCAAATTTTTTCTACAATGACTGAAGCACAGATTTTAAAGAAAAATAGTTATAATTATTTAAGTTTAATATTATTTTTTTATTAAAACAATAAAATATTTATATTTAGTATTATAACAAAAGATTGAAATAAAATTTTAATTTTACTTAAAAAATAATATAAAATATTTAAGAAATTATACCTAGATTTTTTCCATTTTCAAATGAAAACAGAGGCTTCTCCTACGAGCAAAACTTGACATTTTCTGCAGATGTCATAATCTTTCTAAGAGATACAGAATTTAGTGCCATTTTAGATACAAAGCTAAATCGAGTTTATACACTTTTCTTGTTTATGGTTGAGGACAACTCTTTTTCGATTCTCAAGGGTCAAGGCATTACAATTTCAAATGAAGTATTTTTAAAGAAGAAGTGAAAAATGTCATTTTCAATGAAAGTACATTGAAATTCGAGTCCATACGAAAACCTTTACACAGGATGATAATCTGAACAAATTAAAAAAAAACATTAAACAAATTTTAATAATGTAAAAATAATTAAACTAGACTAAGTTTTAAATTTAAATTTAAAATTAGCCTATTATAAATAATATCCAAATTATATATGTGTAATAATAATACTCAATTAAAAAAATTTATAATTATCACAATATAAACACTGTGACGGAGAGTTTTACAACCCATCAAATTTTATAAACATGATACATGTAGTCTTGAAAAGAAAATTATATTGTCTATACTTATTTAAGAATATTTCTTTTATATTTTAATTTAAAATTAATTTCATTATATATATATTGTAGGATTGATAAGTAATTAAAAATATATTTTAAATTTAGAGTTTCATTTCATATAATTTTAATAAATCTGTTACAACTTATAATAATATATTTGTTGAATCAATTTGAAATTATATTATAAATTTTACATAATTTAATGGATTAATATATAAAAAAATTCAAAATATAAATACCAACGGAAACAAGAGAAAGGTTTCAGAATGAGATTATACGAAAACAAATTAATTTAGAGCAGGTAATTTCATTTTTAAAAATTAATCCAATTCAATACGTAAGTATTCATAATAAACGATAAGAAATGCAGAGGTACAAATGACTAAATAAAAAGGAAATATATTAGGAAAAATAAATAAAAATTTACTACCTAAAAGTCACTATACTAAATGATACAATTAAAAAAAAAGAGTTAATAATTGTTTACAATATTTCCGCTAAACTAGATAGTAAATAAATCGATTAAATATGTATTTATGTATGGACAAAAATTTAATAAAATAATATTAGCATTTTTTTATGATAAAAATGTTAATATAAGCGTACAGGTATAAGTTATATTTACTTTTACACTGTTTTAACAAAAATTAATAATTAAATTATAAATTTCAATCACATAAATTATCCATGCAAAATTTAATATTGATTCAATTACTTGATACCTTGTTGATATGCATCAAATTAACGTAATATATACTCTTAAAATTTATGAAAATAAGAATCTTTTGATAACACTCTTATAAATATTTAACCATAGGACATAGATAATTTAAATAATATATAATTAAATAATATTTTATATATTAAGTTATTAATTGTGTAGGAATGAACATAACTTACATTTATGTAAATATATATATAAAGAGAGAGTACAAATCAAATAAACTATTTTTACTTAAAAATGAAAGAAATTAATTTTAATCATTAAATCTTATTATAAATAATCAAAATTAAAATATATACATCATATAAATTTTTTCTAAAAATGTGACTTTAAAAATATTACATATATTTTAATTTTAATCATGATAAAATTTAATGATTAAAATTTATTTTCATATTCTCATTTAATATATTCCCGATATATATTACATGACTGTAGGTTAATTAAGATCATGGTCGAGATTATATATGTTAATTAATATCACGTAATTAATTTAAAGAGTCAAGTTGTCTGTTGTCACGTAACTTTCATATTTTAAAGACTAGGAATGATAAGATCCAATGGTTGATATTTATTCTCATATTCTCACGTGAAAAGAAAATCATCAAAGAACCTTACATTTTGTTCCTACATAAAAGTGTTTACAGATCGGTTGTCACCATTTGTCGAATTATAACAATGTTAAAATGTTTTTCATGTCTCCTGGTGAAAACCAAATTGTAAAGTTTATGAAGTGTAAAGTTCTTACATATAAAAAAGCTAGGACAAAAAAAAATGTTGTCCAGTATAAGGACAAAATCTAAAATTATTATAATGTCAGCATTTGTACGGAGGAACTAGAATGTAGAATTTTCCACATAGGGACCAGCATGAAAATACTGTGAGATAAGGGATGAAAATTTTAAAATGAACTACAAATTTACAATCTAACTTGAAATAGAAAACCTTCAAGGATATGCTCTAACACCAGAAACATAGGTTTCCTCAATTGATGCCAATGCTTCTTCAGCAAAGTCTTTCCATGAATCGGTGGATAATATGACAAAATCTGCCATTTTCCCCGGAGATAAGGATCCAAGATCTTTGTCAAGGAAGCTTGCACGAGCAGCAGAAATGGTGTAACTGTCAAGGGGACAAGAGTGTTAAAGAATCATGCATGAAACAGTAAAAGAAAAACATGCAAGTATATGAACTGAAAATTGGAATTTGATCATAAAAGGACAGAACACCACTCAGCTGAGCAAGCAGTAAAAAGATTACATACAGCAATACAATTACTAAAAATATCATACGAAGAAGTTAGGAAAAACAAAAATGTGCAGGCCATGAATACTACATCATGATATTAATGCCATATGATATTTCGACTACTCTTCTCAGTTTGACAAACTAACAATAACATTAGAATAACATGAAGGCTTTAATGTTGTTTACGCCTTTATTGCATCATCTAATGAAATGCATTCTGATGGAATCCATGCATTTTCCCAAGTGGGAGGCCTCCTTCTCATTGCTGTCTTAATACCACTCAAAGGATTGATGTCTGCTACCTGTAAAAGAAAGACATAACATTATGCAAAGTACCTCTTAACTTGTGTTATGAAATATGAAAATGTGCAAGGTGAGGAGTACTAATAAAATGTTGCAAACTTACTGGCCAATCAGAACCAAATGCCACTAATACATCATTATCCAAGAGCGATCGAAATAAATATGATTCCTTTTCAGCCCTATCCTTGCCAAGCTTTTTACTAGTAGAGTCAGCATCATCCAACAATTGATCTGGCTGTTGATGAATGGTAATAATAAAAATTATTACAAATCTAGTAAGGGGCACTGTTTCTACTATCTAAACATATAATAGGGCGTATATAATCCATCTTAAAGTGTTCTTTATTATTAAGTCACTTGAGGAAAGGACAATAATGAGCTAAATTGAAGTAGGGAGAAAGCCACTGGCAGGTTTGGGGAACAGATTAGTGAAGAGAATAGATTCATAACAGGACAAAATTCTAGGATTTTCAAATATCTGTTTCTACAAGTAAGATTTGGAAAAAGTACTATCTTGATGCAACTGAATATAATTGATTGTTGGTCCTAGAATCAGCAATTCTTTTTGGTAAATTACATTCATATTCCTAAGGTTTAACAGATTTTTATTTGATACCCTTAGGTCCTTTTCTTACATTACTTTGACTTCCCCTGATTTATATAACTACATTAGAAATCAAGGAAGGTTTGTGTCATTGAGAAGCATATGCGATGTTATGTTATTACATATATTAACGGAGGTTTGTGTAGGGTAAAAAAAGAGGGGCATCGGATGAAATTTTGTTAAACCTCAAGAAGTGTGAGTATAATTTTTCCACTGACCCCTCCAAATTTGTAAGAAATAAGCCATTTTAGTGATTGTTCTAGTACCAGTTCATCTATAATATTAAGCGTAATAAAAAGCCACAAGATCATTAGAAACCTGCATGGATGCAACAACCCGTTGTTTGCCAAATCGGCCTGGGGTCCCAGATGCCAACTGCTGGGCATGCTCAATCTGAAAGCAGCGCTTTAGTTGCTTGACTTGCTTTACAATGGTCATTGAAGAAAAATTTCCCCATCATTGATAAAAAAAAATTATTGAAGCTTTCCAAGTTTTTGCAAAAATGTTACCCTAAATCTACGATCCCTCATCCCATTTGTAGAAGCAACTGAGCCATATATGTCCAAGATAAGGTCATTTGCTCTGTCCCCTATAGCATGAATAGCAACCTGAAATAAAATAACAGGAAGCCAGCCAACTGAGCTGATAATCAAAAATCGTGTATGAACACATAAGAGGTTGGTAACAAATAACAAAAGAATAAATCACCTGTAGACCATTTAAATCTGAATCCATGGTCATGTTGAGAAGAGCTTCAGGGTCAGTCACTTGTAGGCCATAATTGTCAGGGTCATCAATATATGGCTACAAAATTTGAAATACCATGGTTAACCCATCAAAACTACATGATTAGATGTGCATGGTTAAACTAGAAGCTAAAATTTTCTCTCTCAAAACATAGGTGCTCGTGGTCACCCACAACCCATATCTAGTACAAAACCAAAGAAAGATAGACAATGGAGAGAGAATAAAAAAATAAATTAACAGAAAATTTGAATGCCTAGTCTCACCTCATATAACAATGCACTATTGGAACCCAACGACCCGTCAGCAAATGCTTTGACACCACCCACATAAATCCATTCGCTCAAGGAATGACCCACTTTGTTGATCACGTCCTAAGCAGTAAAAATGTGACTTCAGGCACTGTTAAAATTTGACACAGCTAGCTTTTGAAGTTGGTTTAGGCCTAAGGCCCTAAGCCCATTCCCAATTTTCCTTCACACATTGGAATTATGATTTATTTTGGATTTATATCAGTTAACAAGTTTTATTCACTAGATTGCCATGTTCTTAATTGTCTGATGCAATAAAAACATGCTATGAAGTCTATGACATTTCTCGCTCTGAATCACTAGTTCAAATAACAGCTAACCTTTTGCCATTCTACAATAACGTCAAAATATGAGGATGAGTAATCCTCAAAGAGACTTGAACAAAGAGTTACACCATGGAAATTATTTTAGCAAGACTCCCTAGTCTCAATGAAATGATGAATTTATATCCACAAGTAGTTTCCTTCAAACCAATTATTGCTGAAAACTAAACACATGCAACATGTTCAACCTTTTCATAAGAAAAAAACTCTGAATCCAAATGCTCCAAGGATAGCAAATAAGGCAAGCATCCACCACATTCTACAGTCCTAGTGTTCTTTGTGAAGCACTTTTAAGCCAATTATTAGGAAGTCATCTAATTGGGAGAGGGGCACACCTAAGCTTCCTCACTTGAAAAAAAAAATCTAGTGCATAAACTCCAATACATTGACCACTGAATGAAAGTATGGATATGAATCTTATAAATGCTATATTTTATCACACAATTTGTTCTTGGTTCATTTTCAAACTTTTCCTTGATAAGTGAGGAGTTTCACTTGCAAACAAGGCAGAAAGATTATAGCATTAGATAAATCATAAGCTCTGAAAGGAGACGTACCACCAAACTTGACATTGTCTCCATTGAAAAAAATAAACACACTCTAATTTTCATTTTTGACATAGAATTAGCCCATAGATAAACATCTGCACAATTAAAAAAAAAAACAATAAATAAAGAAACGAATGAAGGTCACTAAGCTCAAGAATAAGGCCCTTTTATATATCTCATAAAATCAGAGAAAATGTCACAGTTCAAAATTTTAACGGCATTATCCGTGGCTGTAGGATTGTGTCACTCAGATTAAAATTACATCATATCTGTTTTTCTGTTCCTGTTTTAATTATTTAAATATTAATAATATGCTTTAGATCAGCTCAAGATATTACACAAATGAAATTATGCAATAGAATAAGGTAAATCTTCTAGAGTCTAAACCCACTGTTATAAATCCACTATGTTATTTATATTGCGTTTCAATGGATTATGCGGGTTTCTTCAAGTATAGCTCAATACTCAGTACAGCAGAATGAAGTTGCTATATTAGTTCTTTGAACATTTAAACAGCTTTCCCCACTACGGTGGCATTCAATTGATATACAAAGTAAAAGAAAAGTAAATGACACTAATAAAGAAAAAAAATACCAATATAAAATACAAAAAAGGTGTCATCTTATGAGCTACACATATAACTCAAACTATTAGATCAAACCTGAAAAATCATCCCAAGAAAGATCAGATGAGAACCCAGGATAATATCTTCCCATGTCAACAACTGTGGTCACCCCCCTTGTTAGGGCAAGATTGCTTGCTCTATGCAATGCCTCCCTTCTATCATCTACTGAATCCTCTGGAATCTGGGAGGTAACAAGTGTCCTTGCAGAATCAATTAGCAGTCCAGTAGGTTCTGCATGATAACAACACTTAGTTACACTGTATCAGTTTAGCTAATACAGAACCAAAAAGAATCTTGAAATGAAACTAGCAATTAGAATTTTGCATTGGGGGAATGAATATAAATATTGACTGTAGGTCTGTAACATAACACCAAAACATGCAATCCACATCGAAAAATAGATGAAGCAGACTGACAAACAGGTGAGTAATAGGCTGGTAGTAGTAAGGAAAATGCCATTAGATATGCCACAAAGGTTGAAATGGAACAGGCTTTCACACACTGCCACACCACAGAAGCCCTTGCCCGTGCATGAAAGCCACGCGCCACCTTCCTGGCCAAACAACCATAGCTGTTTGGGTTCTTAAACCTTCATACGTTCTCTGTTAAAGTGTAAGTGTTTGTTACCATGGATGACCCATGGGCCTCTCTTGCCATGATGACACATTACATTACAGTTGCTAATGATTCACAAACTCCTATCTTGATTGTGGTAATATTCAACTCACTACCTCTCTTTCATTAAAAAATGTTTATGTTCCTAAGCTCTCCACCAAACTTATTTCCCTATACAATTAATGCTGCTGAGACTAACACTTTCAAGTATACCCCCTCATACAAATCTTGAACCATATGGATAGTGCCACAAGATCATTTTACCATAATGGAAAGAATAACGGCAATGGAAAGACTTAAATTCATGACTCTTGAAAGAGAGACTTTGATACCATGTCAAGGAGCAATTCTTACAAAAGCTTAAGCATTTAGGTGGAGAATAATAAATAATTATATCTAACAATGCTTAATTACCCTAAAATCTTAAGACACAAAACTCAACATAGAAACCAGAAAATCATCATAAAGAAATGCAGAGACTAAAATTCTGTACTCCAAGTGAATGCCTTTTGAGATTTACAAATTCACAGTGAGATATTGTTAATTAAAAAGAGTAGGATATAAAAAGGCCAATCCCATATTACTTGTAGGATGGTCCAATATTCAGTCTCATATTCTTTTGAAATCCACTTCATCACTCTATCTACAAAACAATGAAACTACCAGAATGATCAGAATTTCTTTTAATACAAAGATAATAAACTATTACCTCCATTGGAATTCCTCATGATAGTTCCCCCACTTGGATCGTTAGTTAAATTTGTAATCCCAGCTAACATTAGTGCCACTGAGTTAGCCAAACCCATGTGACCATCCACTCTTGATAGCCAAACCTGCTTGTATGCTTCAAATAAGATTATATTGCTGTGAATGAAGATTTTCAAAAAGGAAGGAACATAAGTAAATAGCTCACAGGATTATTAGGAGTAACATCATCAATCCAAGAGGCAGCTGGCAGATCTCCTCCCCACAGATCATTGTTCCATCCACCACCCAAAATCCAAGAACCTTGTTTTGTGCCTTAAGTTAAAAGTGTAAAAAATGAGCATACATCAGACATAAAAATTCAGAATTTAGAAATGTGTCCACTTTAAAATTGTTCCATGTAACATTTTCCATTTGATGAACATATTAGAGTTGATTTAACCACATGCTTGTAATCCTTTGTTCCAGCATTATTACTCAGAGAAAGGATGGCAACGTTTTCTAAAATCCACTAAGTAGGTTCATTTTTAAGAAACTACACGTAAAGTAGCCAACTTCAACAAAACTCCCAACTCCCATCAGATGAAAAGTTAAATTGAGAATAAGAATTAATGGAATCAAAGAGCAGCTTTATGATATATGGAAACGTAACCACAAGTATCATCAACTTTGTTTGAGTCACATCAACATAATATTTGGATGATAATTTTAACTTTGGAACCTCAATCAGGTTTGAAGAATGAAGCACGGTCTGCATTAGAGTAGGCAGAGAAACAGAAATATGAATTGACACATATAGCTTCAAGGAAACGAGTTATATGTAAATTATCTCTCCATCAAAACTAAGAAATAAGCTATCACTGGAATTTATGAGCAAATTTTCTGGTCAATATAACCAGCAAATTCAAGGCATAAGATAGCTGGACAATTAAAGCCAGCAAAGCCACGATTGTAAAGCTGTAACTTTGTAACTGTTATTATCTCCTTAATTAGGACACCCAGCTGTAGGATAAATGTAAATATAGCAGTGTGTGTGTGTGTGTGTGCGCGCGTGAGTGAGTGAGAGAGTGAGAGAGAATTCTTTGATAGGAGAACACACTGTATTTGAGCTACACTTTTATGAGTTTAACATAAGCATGCCTAAGCTCAAGGCTTACTTTGTGCGGCATCTTTGATCCTTCTGATAAATTCTTCCTTTTTATTTACACCTCTCAATTTCACCTGCATCATCTGCAATTACTAACAGGATTTTATAACAGGGAACACATTGTTGTTTTGCAAACATAAAGGATTTCTCACATTAAAAACAAAACTCAGTTCATATATTCAAATGATTCGAAGCTCAAGCACAACCTAGCCCAGAAACAAATTCATCCTGCAATAACATGACTTTGTGATGTGCTCTCTTATAAACTGCATCTGATTGATACTCTAGCAGTTCTACATAAGTACCTTAAAGAATCTAAAATTTAGAGATTATAAGGATTTCCATGACTATTACACGTTAAAGTAAATTCACCATATATCCAAATGATCATTTTAGAAAGTATAAATAAATAAACAGACTCAGGCACATCAAAAGTGGTACAAAAGAAGCACTAACAAAAATGGAAAATTACATTCATACCCCTTGAGGTTTGACAAAATTTCACCCGATATCCCTCTCTTTTTTCCATTATTTTGACCTTCACTATTCATATAATTGCATAAGAAATACAGATGGTTTGTGTAATAAAGAAGGGTATAAAATGTTATGTTGTTACATAAATTAAGGAAGCTTTGAGTAGGGTCAAAAAAAAGAAAAGCTATTGGGTGAAATTTTGTTGAACCTCAAAGGGTGTGAGCGTAATTTACCCTAAGAAAAAAGTGACATGCACTATACCTGCAATCCACCATCAATAAAATGCACATGGGAATCAATAAACCCAGGAACCACAACCTTCCCACCAAGATCCAAAACTTGAGTTCCACAACCTGCCAACTCCTACATAAAATTCAAAAAGCACATTTGCAATTGAAGCACACATATGTGAACAACAGCAACGACAACGTTCAATGACTTCAATCAAAATTGCTCCTTTTTTTTGCCCCAACAAATGGGAATTAGGATGTGAAGTTAGCACCCCAACAAGTATAACCTGGACAAATGAATGGTTCCCAACACGAACGACCCTCCCATTGCCCACTGCCATGGAGTCTGCAAATAGGAGAGAGTCATCACTGGTATATATCACCCCATTCTTTAAAACCAAGTCAGCCACAGGGAGAGACCATCGTGACTTCCATGCCAAAAAATCTGAAAAATAAAAGTCACAAACTTTATTGAATTACAGTTTTCACAGAAACATTTAACTCTACAAACAGCGACAACAATAGTATAAAACTATAACAATTTTTAAAAATTTCAAGAAATGACTAAGTTATCATATCACATATAGAACTAAAAACAAACATTTATATAACCATTTGTATTCATAAAGTGTGCAACTTGGGTACGAGGTTGAACACCACATGGGAACTACTATTAAAATGAGACAGGGAAGAGAGAGTTACTTACATGGTGGAGGCAGAGACACAAAAGTGAGACAAAAAAGGATTGGAGCAGACACAAGTAGTATGTAAAGAAGAACAAAGTCCATTTTCAAAACCAAAACCAAGCTCTCTCTTTCTTTCTCTTCACACACTTGTGCTTCTACAACTGCTTCACACACACTAGCTGAAACAAAATTTTAATTATTTATATGTGCCACCGAACCAAGAATCAACAAAAAGTGAGGTAGTTCCAACCGGTTCCACCCATCTACATTAAAATTAATTTGATTTGTTTTAACTTTTTAAGGCTTGTAAAATTCATTATAACGTGGGAACATGGGAACTGTGAGATTTTTATATGCAATTATAAATTTTAAGAATAAATGTTATTTTAGTTTTTATACAAAATCTCTTATAAAAATGTTGTATATTAATTTTTATATAAATAATTATTTTTAATTTCGTTCAAGCCGCAGCTACAGTATGTTATAACAAAGCGTTAGTTTTTTTTTAATATAATAAATTTAAATTATTTTTAATTCCTGTGCAAAACTATTTTTATAATTTAATATTTATAAGTAGAAAATTTATTTATCAATCATTATTAAAAAAATTATTTTTAATTTTATTCTTATTATTATGATAATATTTTTATATTAGTGTTAAGTGACATTTTTCATTATTTTTAAGCAATATTTCAAATTATTTAAAAAAAATTCATATTTTATTATCTAACATTTTTAATTTATTGTTGAGCTTTAACTTAACTTTTTTTATTTTAAACTCAGGTAAGAATTATCTTGAGAATTTCATGTTTTTATTTGTCTTTACGAAAGTATTATTATGATATTTTCATCTCAAATATTTGAATTGTCTGCTTTATTATATTTTTAAAATAATTTTTATTAATTCTCATATTATTTTTATCTCAATATTATCTTTTTAATATAGTTAATTATAGTTATAAAATTAAATAAAAATAATAATTATAGTAATAATTTAAAGATTTTTATAAATGTACTAAAGATATAAATAAAAAAATTATTAACTTTAAGCACCACTTAAAAAAAATATGATTCAAATTTAAAATATTGAGATAAGAATGATTGAAAAAAAAAATAAAGATTATGATAAAATATAATAAAGCATATAAGTAATGATATTAAAGATGAAAATGCTAAAAATAATATTTATGTAAAGATAAATCAAAATATGAAGTTAAAGTAAAATATAATATTTATTTGAAAATTTTAAAATACTCTTTTAGAAAAAATAAAAAATATCATTTGATATTGATACATCGCCGCAATGATAAGAATAAAATTAAAAATAAATTTTTATATAGATACTGATATACAATATTTTTATCTAAGAACTAAATTATAAAAAAAAATTCTTATAAAAGGATTAAAAAGATAATTTAAACTCACTTTGGATATATATATATATATATTTGTCATATAAAAGAAAAAGCTAATTTCGTTACAATGTACCTAATGACAAAAAAAGGATTAAAAATAAATTTTATATGAGAAATGATGTGAATTTTTTTTACTTATAAGGACTAAATTACAAAAAAATATTGTATAAGAATTAAAAAATAATTTATTATTAAATTTTATAAAAGCTTTTGCTAAGTAGAAAATTTTTGTTAAAAAATAATAAAACTTATGTATAATAAATTTTTATTAAGAATTAGATAATTCAATATATTAATAATATTAAATTATATTATTTTTATAAAAATAACATAATTTATTAATTTCTTATTTATGATAATTTTATTTTTTATAGGAATTTTAATTTTTGATATTGTGATTTTTAAAAATTATATATATATATATATATATATATTTAGTATGTTTAAATAATTATTGAACTTTTTGTATGAATGTGACTAAAACTTTCTCACTTTTATTCAAATATTATATTTTAGGCACATTTTTTAAAATATTAATATTAAACATGTGAATAATCTTAATTTAAGATTCCTACATTTGTTTGTAAAAAAATAACTCCCTACTTAGAATGTGTTTAGTAAAATATAATGAGCTAAAAGTTTATTTTATTAGTGAAAAAATATCTAATAAAAATAACACTATTTGATAAAATAAGTGAAATGAATAATTATTAATATTTTTATTTTAATTACTAATTAAAAGTATTTTTATATTTTTAAATATTTATTTTTTTATCTATTTTTAATTTAATTTTTTTTTTTTGCTAAACATTAATATTTTATTAAGAATAAATTTAGAATACAATGGTACTCTAATCCGTTACAACTATAAAAGAAATTAATAATATATGTTAAGGGATCATTAATATTATTCACATATACATTATTGCAAGCCACTTATCAAATTGTCCATATTACTGCAAACTATACTATTACAACTCTCTTCTATTTATTTTTTTCACATTAGATTCCACACATGCTTGATAATGTCTCGTGCAAATTTACATATAAGTATAAACTGACATCAAATCATTCAAACACCATATACCACATTCAAAGAGATACTACGATGCAAAAAAAAAAGAAGATGCAATATATCCTTATTTTCAATTCTAAGGGAATCGTCAATCTATGTTTAATCAAGTTCTTTTGCATCGGGACTGCATTAAGCAACATACGTCAAACCAATATCAATACTTTTCTCAGTGCACTGACCTTCTAAATCTTGCATAAGACTTGCACTAGACTCAACTCTAAACCACTACATACAATCAAGAAATGATGAATGTAGTGATATGCAGATTGCACACTATATTTATTGTCACTGTCACACTTCCATAGCAATATATCATTTTCATTTTCTCTCGGCTTCTTATCCTTCTTTTTAATCATTGCTGAAAATAGTCTTAGGTATAAATTTGTCAATGCAATATTTTCTGTCCATCTATTTAACTTTTAAAATTTTACTTTTTTATTTTTTTATATTAAAAAAGAAGAAATTAGGTCATAAATAATAAAAAAATAAATATTACAACATTGATTATTTAAAAAATAATAAATTATTATCTTGAGAAGATTTTTTAAATTTTAATAATTTATTGATAAAATAATTATAAATGAAAGTAAAATAAAAATTTTACTATCTTAATTTAAAGATGATAAATAATTTTTAAAAAATATTTTAAAAATTTAATTACTAAATTTTAAATTTTATTCTAATATATTTATATATTCTATATCTATATCTATATCTATATCTATCTATCTATCTATATATATCTATCTATATTTCTATGTAAAGTTAACTACACTTACTTATTATCCTATGCATTAAATTTTAAAACGTATAAAGTCATTTTTATATATGTGACTCTATTTACCTATTACTCTATGCATTAAAAATTAAAACATATAACTTATGAATTGAAATTATATTTTATTCATACTTATTTATCTTTGAATTATATTTAAAGAATTTTTATTAGAATTGATGAATTGTGTTTAAAGAATTAATTCAGAACCTATAAAGTTACTCATATTAATTGTATCTAATTATTACTTTCCATATTAAAATTTAAAACGTAAAACTTACCAATTAAAATTATATTTTATTCATATTTATTATATTTCAATTGTATTTAAAGAATCCTTATTAGATTTGATAAATTGTATTTAAAAAATCTATATTTCTATGTAAAGTTAACTACACTTACTTATTATCCTATCCATTAAATTTTAAAACGTATAAAATCATCTTTATATATGTGACTCTATTTACCTATTACTCTATGCATTAAAAATCAAAATATATAACTTATGAATTGAAATTATATTTTATTCATACTTATTTATCTTTGAATTGTATTTAAAGAATTTTTATTAGAATTGATGAATTATGTTTAAAGAATTAATTCAGAACCTATAAAGTTACTCGTATTAATTGTATTTAATTATTACTCTGCATATTAAAATTCAAAACGTAAAACTTACCGATTAAAATTATATTTTATTCATACTTATTATCTTTGAATTATATTTAAAGAATCTTTATTAGATTTGATAAATTGTATTTAAAAAAATATTAAAATTAATGGTTATATTATATTGCAAATGGCAACACGTAAATATTTATACTAGAAATTACTTTAAATTACCATTCATTAAAATTAACAACAATATTTTTTAAAATTTATGAATTAAAATTATATATGATTCATACTTATTATGAAATACATTTAAGAAGAATTTATTAGAAGTTATGATTATATTATATACGTTGAATTAAAAAATTACACCTATAATATTATTACTTTATATTATATATTATTAAATTAATTTTTTCATAAATTTTAAATTTATATTTCAAAATTTACTTCAGATATTAAAATGTAATTTAAATAAAAAAATACATTTATAAAATTATTAGTTTATATTATATATTATTAAATTATATTTCTAATGAAAAGACAAGTTTACATATTTAAATTATTTTAATAATTAGTTTAATATAATATATAGTTCAATATATATCTTAAAAATTAAAATATTTATAAAATTATTAGTTTATACTATATATTGTTAAATTACATTTCTAATGAAAGGTTAAGTTACATATTTAAATGATTTTATTAATTAGTTTAATATAATATATAGTTTAATATATATTTCAAAAATTAAAATATATATTGAATGTGAATTATTGTTTTATATTATATATTATATCATTAAAGTAAATTTTGAATGAAAAGACAATTTTTATGATATTAATTTTTTATTTTCTGACTTTTCATATATCTTCAGAAAGAACTTTTTCTTTTTTTATATAAGTCATATTTACATAACTTTTGAAAATTTGTTCAACTTCTTTTATTGTCATATTTCTTCTTTGTATTTTGCAATCATGGCCTATCCACGTAAATATGTGTTTTCAAGTTTGATATTTTTTATTTTATTTCATTAAATTATTATATATTTTAATTTATTTTTTTGAATAAGCATAAAGTAGTCTTATTTTTAAATAATATAATATATTAAATCTTATTTTTAATTGATTAATTTGTATCAAATCTCTTATTATTTTCTTATATTCATCACAAGTAATTATTTATTTTTATGTTTTTCATGATGTTGTAGGAGAACAAGAAGTTCCAACAAAGATAAATGGACTTTTTTTAACGATATGTGTAATGCCTTGGTTTGAATGTGTTGAATGAT